TATGCTAGAGAACAATTGAACAAACTTTCTAAATCACTTAAAAGTCGTTTTTGTTGAGAATTCAATGTCGAAAGAAAATAATGAAGTTTGGAATGTTTGTTGTGATTGGATGGTATTACTTGTCATCAATAGATTTGTAGGCGTTTTCATTGATGTATCTAATGGACTAACTCGAGATGATGCATGAATTATACTAGGTTCATGTTGTTTTTGTCGTTGTTGTCTATTAGTACGAATACGCTATAACAAAGAAAGAAAAACAAAAATGAATGCAATATCTATCTTATTGAATTAAATTCTCGTTACTTTAACATAAGAATGGCGCTTCTTTCGCCCAAAACCCAATGATACATGAATGGTTGGATACTTGTCCATTGAAAGTTAATATGTATGACACTGTATGTAGATGAAATGTGATGGAAATGATGAATTTTTTTTCTTTGTTATTTTATCTTAATAGGTTTCTTTCACAAGTAAATATATGTCGCAGTGAAAATTAAAATTCTACTGCAACATGCATATGATAGATTTATTTATGAATAAATTATCACGAAGAAAATGGTATTGCTTGATTTAATGTACTTTTCTTCATATAAAAATGTATTTGTGATCGTTACCTTGCAACGACAAAATAATAAATTAGGAAATAGAAACTCATCTCAAATTTATGTATAAATAACTTGCCTGATCTAGTTGTTGTTATATTTCATTCCATGGAAGAAAGACAATGCCTATTCATTTCTGTTTCAATGGAAACAAATTAAATCAAAAACAAAAAGTCATACAAATGCTTTTTATTAATTAAAACAGAGAAGAGAGTTATTGAAACAAGTTTCTATTTCACATTCATCAATAGTTCTCATCTGAATTAGTTTCAGATTAAATTTATAAAAGATTTTGAGAGCGAATGTCATATCTCGAACATTATTTGAGAACTGTCTCAAAGAACATCACGATAGTATAATTTGTCTCATTATAATGTGATTCGATGAAATTAATCATACAATGCAATCACTAAGATGATTTGTAAAGTGATTTTTCGTGTGTTTGTAAATTTACATATATGAATTATCATTAAGGTATACAAAAAAAACTTAAATACAATTTGAATACATTTTTTCTTTCGATATTCTATATATTTAATGTGGGTGAATTTGATCTACGAACAAGATTATTTTATTTTCTTCTTCTCGAACAATTATTAGTTTTTTTTTATTTTAAGTTTATGTTCTAAATTCGATAAGCAGTTTTATCCGAATTTACAATAAAACTTCTCTATTGTGAACACCATCGGGACCATTTAAAACCATTCATTTTAGAGTCTTATTCATCTCTTCTTATGTAAATTATTTGAATTGAAAGGTTTTTCAATTACAATAGAAAATATAACTTAAAAAAAATCTACTAATATTGTTTGTCTTTTTGCTTTTGAACTAATATAAATATTCTTTAATCTTAAATTCAATATCATTAATTAATAGATGTATATGTAGATGAGATTGTTGTGTTATTGCTAATAAATGAAGTTTTCGTATCATTTTCATTGCTTCCGTTATTTTTCGTTTTAAAATATTTGATAAAGAACTAAGTGATTATATTTTTTTTTCAGGAAATTTATGTTGTGATAAACGATTATCCATGTTTATTATTATGACTTAATTTTATTTTTTCTTGCAAAATAAGTTCGTACCGTAATGTTATTTTTTATTTCACACATACAGTAGTCGAATCATACAAAAAAAAAATCTATTTACTCTTACTGCATAAGAAATAGGTGACAGAAAAGAGAAAGAGGTCAAACAGACATACTGACATTAGAGAGAGACGTTTCCAGCAAAAATTGTTTCGTTGAATCCGAGAAGACCATTCATAATTAGGAGGTGTTCACCAGTAGAGGTTTTACTGTACATTGAAAACTGAGTATAAAAATGTGATATTTGATTGATTTCGTTAATTCGAATAAAACTGTTTATCAAATCTAGAACATAAACCTAAGACGAAAAATGTTGTAATTTATACGATATTGAGATCATTCAAGTTATTGACATTATTCGAAAGGAAAGAAAATTTTTTTTTTTGTTTTTTGAATTAAAAATTACATATTTGTTATTGGCGTCAGCTTCTGCATTGAATAATGCAAAACATATAAGGAAAACAAAATCTTATTTGAATTTTGAATTAACTACACATTGTTTCGATCTCGATTTTCGATGATTAGAAAAAAATCAAGTTTGATTTTCTAATGATTTTGAGAGATTTGGGTGTGGATGTGGGTAGGTGTGGGTGTGGATGTGGGGTGTGAGCGGTTGTGTGACAGTTATACATTCACACCTCACACCCCACAAGTATTATACTTTTCTATCGATTTTCTTTTTCCACACATTCAAAAGTGACAAATGAGATTTTATTTAACTAGGCAACAGTCATCTACCAAGCATTTAAATGTGAAGAAGTCTTTCTTGTACCAGTATGTTCACATCATCTATAAGAAATATTTCTGAAAGATTTGAATGATTTCTTCAGTTTTGTCGATGGTGATTTTTTTAAATTTGAAAATTCTCAAGTCAAGGAATAGATGTATCGGGTTGGGCCGAATCACCCGATAATGATCCATGCCGAACTGCATCGTTCTCAATAAGGTGTTGTACAGTAGCCGCACTGGATGCTCGTCGTCGTCGTTCCATGAGTTCTTCTTGTTGTTGTTTTCGATATGAACAACAGCATAGTATTCGATAGATCACTGTCTGTTGGAATTCTTTTGCATACAGTTCACTAGGATATACATATACAAGAAAAGTCAAGACAAATGGAACATGAAGCAAAAGTACAAATGCAATGTGCAGTCGAAGTTGTACGAGAGCCGAATATGGAATGCACAGGGCAAGTAAGTGTACATAGACCGCGTTCGGAAACAGACACGCGATAATACAGAAAGGTGGAATGAGAAAATCTCTATGAAGATACAATTGTTGGAGCCATACACGACAGAGACGTTGGTGAGGGTGTGTATTCATATGTATAAGAATTTTTCGTCGAGCAATTGTGGTCAGAATACATGCTGAACAAACCAAATGGGCGACACACGGAACGATAACATGCACATATGTAAAAGCAGCATCGACCCGGCCCCATGTTGTTTTTGAAATATTTATAAAGGTACAGATCGGCTGACCTGACGGATCGAGGATCTGTTGTCGAGTAAAGATAACTGGCAGATTCGAAATAGCCGCAAAAATAAGAAAAGCAAGTGAAATGAGTAATCCACGAAGACGTGATCCGGAAATGTTCAAATTGAAACATTCAATCAAAACTCGCTCCAGAGCGATTCCCACACTTATCCATATGCCTGTAAAGCCCATCGTTAAGGATATGTATGGCAATGCGTTGCATGACCATAAATGATACGATTTCGTGTAATATCGGGCAATAGTAAAGACATTCGTTTCGAGAAATAGCATCAGAACTAAACTACATATAGACCATCCAATAAGATAGACACCACAGACCGTGATTCGAATGCGTTCACGCATAAATGTAATTAACGCCAAAGTATTGTTCATTATCCCAATGGCAACTATGAGAGTAAGGACAACAATGTAGATGATATGCGTCGAGGGAATATCTTGTAGAATGGCAGATGGAAATGGAAGGCTAACTGCATTGTAAGGAGTCTCACATCGAATGCCGATAAAACATGCATTCGTACATACACAGCGATCTACTATACATTGGCCTCCGTTGAGACAGAAGTCATTGCTATTATTAGAACAGAACGGCATTGATATAGAGAAGTGAAAAAAGTGACGTGGCTGCTGTATAAATACATATACA